CACTTTTGGAATCTATTGTTTACTTGGAAATACTGAATGGATAGTATTTTATAGCAGAATACCTAATTTATTTTCATTTATTTAAACAAGGAGGCACCAAACAGATACGCGTCGTATAGATCATTCGATTTGTGCGAGGCCTGGGATACTGCCCGAGTACCCAAACTGAGGTGGGTGGTTTTCTTAGGGGGCCACACCCCGTTCCTTTGACCTAATAGTCTAATTCATAAGGCAGTGGGGTAACGTAAGGAGATGCAGTCCCATGGTAGCCGGTGACCAACAATACGTTCATACTCCATTTTTTTCCTCAGGATCCTGGACCCCATATGCACCATTGGTTTTGAACCAGGGTTTTCTAACTTCCCTAGGTGGACCCTCTGCGTCCACCAACCCGGTTAAAGCTCCGAATATTCGCTTTTCGTCCTCAACTTCATAAACAACACCCCAACCACGAGAAGGCAGTGAGTAGGACTTCCCTGGCAGTGGTTGTATTCACGTGGCCATGTAAGAGCATTTCGAGAGGGAGAGCTGACTCTCCACTCTCGGCCGTACCAGGGCATTTGGGAGCGATTCCTGATTTAGAATTCTTATATCAGTATATAGTGCACAAATGAAATTCGTTTTTATTCAGATGCGATGTTTTGTGGAAACCTCAAAGAAACATCCATGAATTCTACACATACATTAAATACTGTCAGTTGTGTAGTGATATTCTAGGGTTGATTCGCGTTTGTATCTAGTCCAAAATTAAGTAAACATTTCGCGTATTGACCATTTTATTTATAGAGTTGTATCAGCCTGATTGAATTAATCACCTTCAAAATGTTGGTACAAATACAGAAGGCTTGTACGACACCTATCGTACTTCATTCATGTGACTAGTAAGATATCCGGTCGTTTTTCAAGAAGCTAGTAAACTTCAAAGCGGTGTTTTCCCAGTCCTATTCAATTTACTAAGGTTTGGTCTCATATAATAGACAATATGCATGATTTAGAGGCACTCGATTACAACTGCCTCCTTAATATTCTCCGGGTGTACTGAACTTGACAAATCAGCTAACGTTCAAGTTAGTGATAAGAGTTTTACTACTTACTTACGCCTGTTACTCCTCGTGGAGGAGCACAGGCCGCCCACCAGCACTCTCCATCCAACCCTGTCCTGGGCAATCCTTTCGTTTTCACAGTCCATGCCAGCCGAAGTAGAATGAAATGTCGTAGCACTAGTAGTTACCCAATTAAAAATATGAAAGTAGTCTATAAATTGATTTGTCATTTCAGTCCCCTTGACATGTGTGACACTGGACCTAATAACTAGGCCTAGCAGCCAAATCTTAATTGGAAAATGGGTGACCTGCAAGCTAACCTTCTCCAATCGGCTAAACATTTCATTTTTATTTTGCGTTTATATTCTGTATATAAATATGTTGTCTTACAGAAAAAACTACATCCCTGGCTAGTGGTCTTGTCTTTGATTTTCAATTATTCTAGGGCTCACATCAGTAATACTGTCTTGTGAGTAACTATCAATCAGTCACATACCATTACTTTCATCTGTCAATTAGCCTTTTATTTATTGATTCTTATGAACGTAAATCATCTCACCAGTTATTAGAAACTTCTTCCATGGAGACTATGTGGTATGGTTCACGTGCATTCACTCCACATCCATTGGTTTTCTCACTTTACTAATTTTCTCTTTTTTGTATGATACGAAGTGGTAACTTAAGTCTAAGTTCTAAGTTCTTAGAAAAATAATCCTCATGATTTTCATCTAACGGTTAAGAAATTGAAGAATACTGTGTTGCTTTTAAAATATCGTGGAGATATATCGTATTTGGTAACTAGCTTCCTTATCTGGAAGTTCTTTGTCATTTCGTTAATTAAATAAATAAATAATAAATATATAACTCGGAAAATCATATTGTTTATTAGACGTGCACTAACTTACTAAGCATGGGCGTGATGTACTTGGTTTTCAGAGACATCTTGTATGAAGGGTAATGAATGACTACCTAAATAGTAGTATAGTTACCTTCGAATCTGTAACTTGTTAGTTGAAAGCCAAGTGCTTCAACCTCAAAGCCACTTATTTGAGGCATTCGGCTGTAGGTTGAAGTTCTGTCCCATATAATTCGGTTGAAGTACTCGAATAGTATTACTAATCTTAAATCAAAATATGGTTCAGAACGGAAAAACTAAACCTGTACTTCGTAGATGAATTCATCAAATCAAAGTGCTTGTTTATCCAGGTGCAATAGAAAACAAAAGCTAATCAGCTTCTAATAGATTTTACAGCGAGACAACAACGTTTGCTCTGACCCATCAACATCGAAGATGTACTGGAAATTCAGTCCGTGTTAATAATTCATCTTAAAGTTTATTCAGGTTATTAATTCAAATGTGGATTATCGAATCACTAGTCATAACCTAGAGCCTGATTCACTTACCTCAACCCAAGTTGTCATTTCACACTAAAACCACGAAACTAAATTTTAAAAAATGAATATCAGTCAGCTACAACATAGGACCAGGTACGTGTATGCGTCGGTTCAAGTTGCCATACCTCATTAGCACAACAAGATAAACAAGAAATCCATAGAAGTATTTAATTCATTGGTGGTAATATATAAAAGAAAGATTGTGTGTAAATGCAGGAAGAAGGGATTAGTAGAAAGAACGATATGAAGCATTTTTAATCTCACAGTTTAAGGGAAGATAGTGTATAAACCATCGCCATTATGGTCGATTCTGAACCATGTCACCAAGAGTCTCCAACCATTGGCTACAATAGTTACATAGACCTCAACCAAGTAGCCTGCATCTACCAACATGGCTCAGACTAGGAGTTAGTGACTTCAAGGGCTGATACCACGTTTCGAATTTGGCCGCCCCTACATTTCCAACCATCTTCAATACTAGTCAGAATTGCCTGTCGTGGTAAACGGTGTTCAGGCATACGTAACGCGTTGCCCAACCATCTCAGCCGATGAAGATTCACAACTTCAACTGATTTACCATCATCCCCTAATACCCTGCGTTTAACCTCACTATTACTTACCCGGTGATCCCAACAGATGCGAGCAATATTTCTAAGGCATCTGTGGTCAAATACTAGTAGCTTACGAGTATCTTCAACTCTTAATGGCCACGTTTCGCAGCCGTAAAGTAAAACAGAATAAACTGCTGTGCAGTATACTCGTCTCTTAATTGATAGACGGATATGTCGCCTTCGCCATAGGTAGCGCAAGATGGCAAAAACCAAATGAATTTTCTGAATCCGTGCAGAGATTTCGTCAGACACCAACCCACTAGGGCTGACCAGACTTCCGAGGTAAGTGAAGTTGTTGATACAGGTCAGTCCTGAAGCAACAACTTGCATTTAGAGAGGGAGAAATGCATCCCAAACATCTTGGCATTGTTGCTCAGTGCTATCAAAAGATTGCATTTTATCAGTGTCTCCACCAAACAGGACTATATCATCGTATTCTAAGTCGATAAGTGGACTTCCTGGTAGATCAATTTCTGAAAATTCAGTCGACGATAGTGTTATTTCCATCAGCATGTCTATGATGAAGTTAAACAAAATTGGAGACAATGGACAGTCTTGTCGGATACCACTTGAGGTTGCAAAATCAGATGACAGTTCTCCATAAGGTCTGACTCGACTGGTAGTGTTCGAGTAAAGAGCCTTCACATATCGAATGAGATTTGTGTGGCGCATATGTATTTGGTGCCTCTTTGTACCATTATCTATGTGTTGAAATAAAAAATAAAACAAGGTTAATGTACTTCCTAGGTGCACCTTTTAATGACAGACAGTGCCACATAACCTATCAGTCTACATAGTCAAATGCTGCTTTTAGGTCAATAAAAACTATCATTGTCGGACGCCGGTAAGCTTGTCTGTGTTCTAAAACCTGACGAATGGTGAATATGTGATCGATGCAGCCACGATCAGGTCTGAAGCCAGCCTGATTTTCTCTTATTTGCAGTTCACGAGTCTTTGTTGGGAACCCGATAATTATTGAGTCTAGTATTGTGGATACTATATTAGTCAAACTAATCTGTCTATGGCTATCACAGGATGATTTTGATCCCTTCTTATATATTGGGACAATCATTGATTGTGACTAGTCAGATGGGATTACGTCCAACTCCCATATTTTAGCTAAAATATTAGTAAACCTAATCGCTAAAATTGAACTACCATCCTTAAAGTCCCCTGGAGCCAATTCATCTGCACCAGCTGCTTCTTCGCTTCAGATTAACTATAACCCTTCGAACCTCAGATAGAGTCGGGGGACCTACTTCAGTGTCCCATTCACGCTGTCTGGGAATGGTGGGTAGTTGTAGAGTAGCTAAAGACCAGCTCAACTGCTCTTTAAAGTGTTCCGCCCATCGTTCTAAACGTCTGGATTGAGAGCAGATAAGAATGTCGTCTTTTTCCGAGATAGTCTCACTTACACTGGACTTATTAATTCCAGTTTCTTTTATGAATCTGAAGAGCTGTTTTGTGTTACCTACAGTCGCTGTCTTTTCTATCTTTTGGTTTCGTTGCCCACCACTGCTCATGATCGTATCTAGATCTGATTTGCTTTCACTCTTCATCGTGTTCAGAGCCCAATGGAATGAGTTTATGAGGATCTATCAGTGCAATAGACTTAGAATGAATCCACTTGTTTTTTGTAACTCTTTGGTGTAGATTACCAATAGATGTCACTGCTGTTTCCGCAGCCGTTTGCATTTTTCCAAGCAGCATCTGGGTCAGCCTCGTTTTCAGAACTACCTAAGTGTGACCTCAGTTGTTCCTGGGATCTACTTTCGGCTTTCTCGTCACTCAGTTCAATTCTTATTGGTCTTTGTGTGTTGTTTTTGCATCCAGTAAGGCGCAAGCAAATGCTTTCCGTATTAGAGCATGATCGGAGTTCAAGCAGGTATTCCAGAACGAGCGACAGTCTTCTATCGAGCCTCTCCAACGACAACGTATGACAATATGGTGTATTTGGCGCCATCCTTGGTTTGGTGCAGGGTGTCTCCATGTTAGGTGGTTTCTTTCCTTAAGCTTAGAATTAGTGTTTGCTAAAAATAAACGATTGTCTGCGCACAGTTTTAGCACACGGTCACCATTATCGGTTCACTGAGTCGGAATACTAAAATACCCACCTAAATGTCTTTCTGTTTGGTTTAAGCTACCTACTTGGGCATTGAAGTCACCTGTTACGAGTACTACGTCTGTGCGTTTAGCTTTCCGAAGAAGTTCAGAGAGCTTTCCGTAAAGGTGATCTTTCACTTCAGCCGGGATACAGTCAGTAGGAGCGTAAGAAGAAATGACGTGTGTCTCTATCTTTCCGAGTTCTTACGAAGCCGTTTAACCGAACAGCACATAGACGACTGTTAACGGAGATCCATTCCAATAGTGCTTGTTCTTCCCTCGTACTTAATGCTATGCATACACCCGCCAGTTCACGAGAATTAGCCATCGGGTCACCAGATACACAGAGGGTGTATCTCGTTGGCTCTCCGTTTTGCCGAGGTGAGGTCAAGTGAATGACCACACTAGGATTCTGTATGCATGTATCAAAGGCACTGCATGCATCAATGGTACGAAATTCTAGGGCTTTAGCCAAGGAGGCTTGCTCACCGATTTGACATAGGGTGGTGCGTATGTTAAAGACTCCAGTGTGTAGTTTGGAGCGAGGTTTCAGTAGACCTGAGACAGCGTTTTGCGCACTAGAATGGTTGGCCATGGTGACACTTGCGGAGGAAGCCAAATGAGGAAGTTTAGTGTTAAGAGTCGATGTAGGAGGAATAGTAGGAATTGAAGAGGGAGATTGATTATGAATACGGTGATCTCAAGTGCTGTTAGAGTTATGAGGGCGGTTATCACTCCCCGGTTGCCCACACTGTGGAAGGGATCTTTTGGAGGTACCTGAAAAGGAAATTGGGTTAGAGGTGGTCTTAGTGACCTGAGAGCGTGATCGCAGTACCCAACCAGTGCTTGAGGTTGGTCACTTACGAACTTTTTATGAGTAGTTTTTGTATTAGCTCCGTGCTTGTTGAGACCCTACTGCCGGAGACGGATATCCGTGAGATAGGGCGAGGTGTGCATTTTTAGGGTCGACCTTTTCTAACCCCACTCTTCCTTGTGGGAAGGCAGCATCACTGTTATTCTGGTTGTCAGAAGGAAACACCTTACTGCCGTCACACCTCCATACAGTCAGCAGTACAACTTCGCCTTCGGACATTGGGTTTGCTGCTTTTAGTCTTACCGTTCTTCAACCAACCTGTCTGGCATGATAGGACCTTGAGGAACGATCGTTCCAGCTAATATAACTCGATTGGTTCATTACGATAGGCAAGCCCGATCACCACATCATGGTAGCAGCAACGGTCGGGTAAAAAATATGAACGGTAAAGGAGTCGAAATCGTTATAGTAGCAATGACAATGAGATAGAATAAACTAAAGAATATGGTTCAAGATGTAAGGGAAAAGTGTGTTTAATGATACTAGAACTCATAATATAGGGGAAGATAAAGAGTAAATGTATTTGCACTACCATGATCGATCTTAAGTCATTTAACTCTACGTCTCCAACCACTGGTTGTTGTTAATGCATGAACCCAAATCAAGCAGTCTGAACCTGGCAACATGAAGCAAACCAACAGTCATTGACTCAGTCAGTCAGTATCAACGTAGGACTTCGTACGTACGTACATCAGTTCGAGTTGCCACATCACATTAGCACAGAGATGCAGTGGTCAATTCAAATCCCGTAGTGGTAGAGGTAATGAGAGTCTTAGCAGTAGTCGGGAAGATTAGTGTTTGGAGATGTTATTTAAAGAGTATAATACAGTGAAATAAACTTGGGAAGAGAAAAAAAGAGACAAGGGGGAATCAGGAGATCAAAATTTGGGAGAACACAAAGAATGGATGCACCTGCGCCATTGCAAACGATTTTGAGCCATGTCATTCAGGGTCTCTAACCATCGGTTGCTATCATCTCACGGTCCCCAACCAGGTAGTCTACACCTACCGACATGACTCAGACCACTTGTCAATGACTTCATGGACTTGTGCCATGTTTTGGTCTGGCCGCCCCTAGCTTTCTTCCAATCTACTCCTATACCACTGAACATCACACGTCGAGGCAGTCGGTTGTTGGGCATACGTAACACATGTCCCAGCCACCTCAACTGAAGTTTCACCACGTCATCAATTGATTTGCCATCCTTACCTAGTACCCGTTTCCTAACAACTGCGTTACTCACTCGATGGTCCCAGGATATACGAGCAATATTTCGAAGACACCTATGATAAAATACTAGTAACCTACGGATATCCTCTATTCTTACCGGCCATGTTTCACTGCCATAAAGTAGGACGGAACGAACTGCTACGCAGTGAACCCGTCCTTTGGTTGATAGGCGAGATATCCGTCTATCAACCAAAGGACTTCATGGGCTGATATCACCTTTTGGTCTGGTCACTTATGTTTCGTCTAATTTACTCCTGCTCCAACCGACATTGTGGGCGTTGGTTTGTGATTCATAACATTTGTCGTAGTCACCTCAATTGATGAAGATTCTTAGCCTCATCATCCGATTCACCTTTTTCCCTAGTACCCTAAGTCTAACCTCAATATTACTTACCCCGTCATCATGTGATGTGGAAGCAATGCCTCAAAGACATTTATGTTCAATAGCCTGAAGCCTATCCATGTCTTCTGCCCTTGTAGAATATGTTTTATATAGAGCGGACTGCTGCACAGTGTACTCGCCCCTCGGTTAACAGACTGACATCTCATCTACGTCACAAGTAACACAAGTTATCGAAAGCTAGACGAAATTATTGATGACAAATATTTATGTTTTCAGCTATTGCTTTGTGATTTCTGTTAATGTGATGAACTACAGGACGTTTGCCAGATTCTTCGTTCAGTAACATCTAATTTGATTTCTTTTTGATGTCATACATCGACTTTAAGGAAACTGGTACAATCACCATACATTTGTATGATTTGAATCATGCTAAGTATGTACAGATAAACTAGTGAATGAAAAACCAAGAGATTTTATTTCAAGCAATACTCTGTTCTGAATTTTGCATATAAATTTCACACTTTCATGGTCTTATTTGTCACAATGGTCTTGGTTAATATTCAGTAATTATCAACTTGGTTTTTCTTCTGCAGTTGTCGCCTCTCAACATGCAAATTGTCGCTGAAATCACTGCATACACTCGGATTCCAAAAGTGGAGCTTGCTCGGATGTTGCAAAAAGTAATCGTTTTACATATTTCTTTGTCTCTTTCTGTATGTTTTCGTAGGTTTTAATTATGACGGTTTTAAAATTCACAGATCCACTGTTCGAAAGATAAACTAATAAACTAGGTGGAAATTAAGGACACTTATCAGAGATTAAGGTCACAAACTTTAAAGTAATTATGTATAATCTTGGTTGTACACTTCCTTGGGAGCAGTATAATGTGCATCATCAGTTTGTTAAGGATATAAAAATGTTGATAATATTTGGGATATTTTACGTTTATAATTTTTGATACTTCATCATTTGAACAGATAAAAAGTGCGGGTGCTGTTTGTCCCTTTCTGAATTTGTCAGTTACTTCAAAATTCTCTGTAAATTCCTCACTAGTAATTGACTTTCTAAAGGATTAGTAGTACACTTTGCCGATACTAGTGTAGATATTGTCCTGGTTATTATTTCCTATTACATTTCGTCTTATCTTTCCTTGGTTCCCAAATCCCGAAATGAACTTATACCTTTCTTCCCTACACCTAGTCTTTTTACTACTACCGATTCAGTTACTGCTCCCATCACTCTGAGATCTGTCGAGATAATTTTATCTCTTTGTGCTGGTTTGATGAAGTAACTTAAACCGACACACATATGTGTCAGGTTCTACGTTGCGTATTACTAAATCTATTACATTTAAATTATCCATTACAGATTAAACCAGTGAATCGTTTTATTGTTTTCAGAGTAATATTTATCGACGTTTAAATTTTTTATTCTACTCGTACGACTACAAATCATGTGTGAATCGCTGTGGTTAGATTTCTGAGAGTTATGATGTAATACTGAGGTTTCTGTCCAATACAATTCAATTAGTATTGAGATAATTCAGGGTAAACTCACGTATTTATTATGTTTAGTACATTATAGACTTTAGAGTCATCACCTGTTTTGCTTTAATTAAGCAATTAATCGTGTTTTATTCACTTCATTTGTTAAAGTAAACCACTGATGTGTTATTATTTGTTCTTAATGAGGAAAACCGTATATTCAGTACTAGTTCACTCTCAAACCAGTCAGTGTCTCTATATTTAAGTTAAAAATAACAATTAACTATTCAATGGATGGCTTCTTTTACTGATCTATTGATTGAATAATATAATCTGATGATCTGGTACTACTGTTAATTTAAAGTAGCACCAATGTGCTAAGTACTAATTTTTTTTTCGTTTATTTTTTGGCAGCTAAAACGCACAAGTATTGTCGCTTTAACGGGCAACTAACACTAAAGGATATGCCGCATTTGAAAGCTATAGTGCATATCGACTAAATAAAAAAACCAGCTTAATAAATTGACTCATTCATTGGCCAGTGACTTGTTTATGAGGGTTATTGATACTGCATGGTTGTCCAAGCCGAAATAGGTGTATCGGGGTTCAAATCTGGGACGTATTGGCTAAAAGCCAAACACCTTGACTAATAAACCACTGTTTCCAAAATTTGTTTGTTCTTTCTTCATGACTGTCCACTTTTGATGCCCATCATCTACCTAAAACGTTTCTGCTTCTTAGATCTAATTTTTCGTAGTTGTATTTTAAAAAAATTACAAAGGTATAAACATTTTCATGAAATGACTGTGGAATAACTGTGTATTATCTTTGGATTAGTCATACGTAACCAAATGTAAATATAACGTCTAAGGTACATCTATGTTCGTCCAATTCACTGCTCTTTTATAAACTATGCAATGCATTCTGATTTTACATCTAGTTTTTTAATTGTTTGTACCCCTTGGTGTGCTTACAAAGAAAAATTATCCAAACATATTTTCTTGTGTCTGATGGCAATGGTCCACAATAATGCAGTTGGATTCATTGTTTATATATAGAACTTAGTTTCATTCGATACTTTCCATTTTCAATCTTATTCGTTTCTTTTGGATACTATTTATTATTTTTTTTACTTTTCATCACAGTTAATGTGATTCCCCTTCTATTTTCATCTTGTTGCTTTAATCTCTATCTTTAGTGATGCGAAATGTAGCAGCTTAGGTTGATTTACACATATATCATGCTCTACTTTGTTTATAACTGACTGTTATTAAACAAGGTATGTCTTTTCAATGGATGCATTCGATTTGTTGAATGTATTTGAATGCATGGAGACCTTTTGTCACAGTCTTGGCAGTATCTATTAGCAAAAATGCGAATTCATGTGTTATGATGAGCTATAATTTCGTGTCGTTCAAACTGTTATTTCACAGGTATAAACTATTAAAGCGTTAAACCGTTCTGACCCAGGATGCGAAGCGCATCTGTCTACGATTAATTCAACAATGTGTTGCTGTTTTTACAAATACCTCTTAGAGTAGTTTAGAATCTGATCAAAAATAGATTTTTAAACAGACGAAACTAGTAGTTTTCCGAGTGTTAAAATTGGGTTCTGTATCTATTCTTGGTTCATAATACATATGATAGTTGTAGTCGTCTGTGCAAACCATCTAATTCTGCGCTTATTAACTATGTTTTCGAAATTGATTCCTAGAATTTCAAGTAGGAGGTCGTGATATATATGGAGGCAACCCAGTCGGATCTATAACAAGTACCACTGATTACAGTACATAATGTTCACATTATATCCCGAATACAATAAAATTGTAAAATGAAAATGCTTCGACTTCAGCTTATTGTTTAAATGGTATGAATCACACTAAAACATCAGAACTCCATAGTTTCGACCTTGTGTTGAACTGTAAGTAGACAGTACTGGAAATTTCCACACTGGAAAATATTCACAAATAGACGTTCGATAACCTTCACATTCTGTTAATTTACCTATTAGTTCTGTAATAATAAATGATATATCAGTTACTGTTCCATTACTAGAATACATATTTTTTTATTTCAACAGCGTCCATATGATTATATTATGGCCACTTATATGATAATGGAATCAGTTTTGGAGGAGGAGGATGTGTTTATCCGACTTCAACGCCGCATTAATCCACCCCCTAGTGCAGCAGTACCATCTAAGAAGCTTCATACACTTTCTTGTCGTCAAATTCGAGATGAAAAATTTTCAGCTTCAGCCCCCAGTAGTACCCCACTACACCGTGGAAACGTGACTGTTCCATCATCGGTACCCGGAGCTCCTTTGCATGTTAGATCTGGCAACTTAATCCAAGCTGCTTTTATTGATGAATCCAGTACTTCTGATTTACTTATCGAAGTTCGTGCCCTAATTATTTTTGGTTTATATCATGTATTTACTTAAATTAATTCTTATTCGGATTATATCCTATCATTTATCTTTATACTTGATATACTTTTTTCTTCTACTGGGAAGTGTTCAAATACATCAGTAAACTATAGATTAAAATTACAGATGGTCAACCACATTACCTCCTAATATGTCTGGTTGCCGTGTTCGCGGTAAGTGAAGCGGGGTTAAAGCTTATACTATATGGTAAGGTAGTTGATTTTCAAATCGTATCCCATACTCTCAGGTGATTATTGAATATCAACTTCGGAGTTGGATGAAGAATGCTGGTGAGCAGCCTATGTTCCTCCATGAAGGGTAATAGGCGTAAGTAAGTAAGTAACTTCGGATTATGTAAGCCTAAGATAAAGTAATTGTAATTGCCTCACCATCTTTGAACTAGGGACACAGTAAAAAATGAAGATTTTTCGTTTATAAGAGGGCGTCACGATTATGGTACAAGTCATCCGTATGTGTAATCGCTTATTTACATTGATTATACGTGGATCATTGGCTAAGGTGTCCGACTTCCAAATATCAGGTCCCTGATTTGAACTCCACACCACCTTCAGTTTGGACGACTATGTGTTGTCATAAGCTATCATATTTAGAATGTGGATCATGCCAATGTACCTGATAAGTTAGAGAAAACACGAAACAAAATAACATGACTAGATAAAGAAGCTAGTGAGAGTAAAGCATCGGTCATCGTGAAAAATGTAGACTTCTGATTCATAATAGAATTCCGACCGAATAAAAGTGAGAATTCAAATTATCAAACAAAAACAACATTGTTAAGGCATTTCTAACATTCTTGAGTTAATAAAAAGTGATAACTTCAGGTGACCTTATCTTAAATCCCTTTTTTGTTCATCTCATCTATCTTTTCTAAATATCTGTAAATTTTATGTTCAGTCTCGATTTAGTTACGTATTTTAGCTACTAGAGTAAAGTAGATGTATTAGTAAAATAAATGAATGAATTAATTTTTAATTTTATCAATTCAGTTAACTATATATATATATATATATATATATATATATATATATATATATATATATATATATATATATAGTGATAAGACTTGGGTTAGCACACATCTGTTTTAATGATACGTTAAGTTTTATTTAAAGTATTTGCTTCCTATTCACTGGCTTATAGGTTTACTCATTTTTTGCAAACTTATGAGTATCCCCCATAATATTTTTTTCCAATCTCAATGAAAATATACAGAGTTGCATCATAACATTTTGTAATAAATTATTTTCTGCAATAAATGATTTGGATTTTGCTGATCTGTTTGTATGCATTATTATCAGTAAACGGTTAGTTCCGATTAATAAAAAGTTTTTGTTTTGGTAAACATCAAAAAGCACTTTTAACTAAGTATAATACTATAGAATTAGTTTATATGTGTTTAAACTAATGAGCACTGATAATCATGTAAAAAGTAGCTATAAAGATTAGCACTACTTTCACGATTCTGTCAGTTTGTTAGAAATAACGATAATATAAATGCAATAACTTTGTGTCTAATGTGACTGTACAGAACGTAACTACAGTCCTGTGTCAATGAAATATATTTCCTTTTGCTAATATATCAAAACGTTCATCAGGCCGCTTACTATATTGCATATTCTGAGATTCTGAATTCAATACTTTAGTGTTAAGTGTTAGTTCATAATGTTTGAAAATATTTCATTATCAAATAATTCGCTTCATATATGATTACTGCTGTCGACCGTATTGATTATGTCTATAAATCTACTATATTTTAACGTTTTATTTTATTTTTACCTTGCAACATCGTATTGGAATTGTCGTTTTTACTTGATACCAATCAGGCTGATAAAAGTACCAAGCTCAATTCATCTTTCTCTCCATCTAAACGTGATATTTTTCCAACTCAAAATAAACACAGAACTGGTCATACCAAAAGCGAAATCGAAAATTGTCCTCCTCAGTTCTTTTACCCTGATATGGTTCCAGTGAATAAAATGATCCCTCAATCTCGAGGTAGTTTCGTTTTTACTATTAATTATCATATGCTGTAAGTACTCATTAGTATTTTTTCCGTGTAGGATTTACCATTTAGCAGCCTATCTTGAACAATACAGCAATACAAGTTGAATATCTAAATATAAATATTCAACCTCTAAGATATATAACGAATTATACACGTGTTTGGACTAGTTTAAATGGTTTTGAGCTGTATCGAAGAATCTTCAAAGAAATATTACTCATATGTCCATTTCATACAACCTAACAAATATATATCTAGCTCATATTGATGACAAGTAACTGAGTTGTTAAAACAAGCGAATATACTAACAGTGTCAGAATAAATAGGGTTACTTATGTATATATATCATAAATATTTATTCACGCAATTTCCGATAGTATTAGTTGGGATCCGCGGGGATGTTAAGTAAAATGCCTCGAAATGGGCTACAGTATTGAAGATACATTCGCTCTTTATATTCCTTTAGGTCTCGAGCTTTAATATTAACTCACACTGTTTATCCCTCGGATTCATCTCTTCAAAATGTATTCTTCATTGCTTAATCTTTCTTACAATTTCGACTTTCCCTATTTTTTTTTTTAATTAATTTAGTTTGACAACTTAGGCTGACACTGCCAAACCGTATACTGATTTTTTAAAAAAACGCTGCTTCTCAATTCTATTATTGAAGTCTCGTTTTAAACTTTTCAAGAATATCAATCATGATATTCTAATATTTCCATTTTTTGGGATTCCTACCCACAGTCTTTTCACCAGTGCAAGATTTTTTTCATTATAGTTATCTTAAAATTAGATAACTTGGATATTTGTGACAAATTAATATTCATTGTTACAATATGATTTAACACGTACATTTCAGATATTAAACACAATAAAGTATCTCTTTTGCCGCTGTTAAATCCTTACTTCATTTATATAAAGATTGATCAATTTTTCAGGTAAAGTTGCAGATCATCCTGGTCTATCTCCCAGTCGTTCCGTTGACTCTCAGCTCATCAGTTTGACTCATGATTTTCACAATGCGCAATTGACTGAAAAGTAAGTTAACAGACTTTGAAGTTTTGTTTATTGAAGCTTTCGATAAAATTAACGCCTAGAAACGACTTTTGCACGCCAAATTTGTATACTTACCAATGACCAGCCGCTAAATATAATGGACTTAGTTATTTGGTATCCGAATATTTGATCTGAGATCTTGACTTTCACGTTCGACCTCTTTGTATTTTCATCACTAAGTTTATAATGTGCCTGGTATTTTACGCTAAAAAATTCGTATACACCTTTGGATGGATAATTTTTAGTTTGAGAATGTCACAAAATTCTCTTCCACATCTTGTGCAATCACATCCATTACCATGTAAGAGACAGTAGCTTAAGGGTTTGTGTTTATTTCTCATCCTTTAAAGATGAAATCCATCTCTTGGTCAATTACATGGACTTACTATTTAGCGATTTTTGATTGCGCAACTTCACCGTCATTTTAACTATCTTATTTTTATACTTGCTTTACTATTGACAGCTTCACTTATGAAATCTAGTTACTATATTTGTTCAGTTGCAACCGAAAATCTTTTATGAGTATATTCTTCTAATTGTATTAAATTTCTTCATTATATATTTAGGGCATTAATAAAAAAACTTATAATTTTTTTGTGGTTATTTAAACTAATTTCAGTCCAGCTAAAAAAGTGTAGATTACCGTTTTTACCAGTTATTTGCTTGTGTATTTCTTTTACAGTTTTAGTTACCGTTGTGGATTTTCATGAAAAAAATAGGATTTCAATGATTACATCAAATTTAGATTGTAAACGCTTTCTGTTTTTATTTATATAGGAGACGTCCTATTTCGGTAACTGAGGCTACTAGTGAGGATAACTTATCTACCGCTTACTCATCGTTGTCATCGCAATTACAGCATGAAATAGCATCTCTCCACTCAAGTCCTGGCCTCGCCGGTGATGACTTCTCACAATCCCAAAGTTCAGCTGATGAATGTGGAACCAATTCAAGTCGTTTTCCTGAAGTTAGTAGTTGGCGCAATTTCGGGCGTCTACGAAAAGCTCTTACTCCAAAAAACGTCGTGCCAGATGGTCGACTTGTTGTGGATCGGTTACGAAAAACGCGTCATTTAAACAATGTGTTAATTGTACGAAACGACTTGAGTCCTGGTCAGGTGTTTGATCAAATAACTGCAGCATTAAAGCAACAGTCTATACGCTTTACTCTTAAAGGGTTTGTTCCAACACATTTGTTGAATTTTCATGTCATTCGTTTTGTTGACTCAGTTAAAAATCTTTTCTTATTTTAGAAATTTTTAGTTTGTACTAAGAAAGATTTGTTAAAATTTGTTATTTATTACTGAATGTAACATCTCTAGAATTGATAACTTCATAAAGGTACTGCTTGCATAATCGAATACTCAAACTTTTCTAAATATTTTCCCGTATTGAGTCACTAATATTATCTGTAATCATAATGCTGAGTATTTTCTGGCAAAATCATTAAACTTGAGATCTAAAAGTTAAAACATTAGTTAAGTTTCTGCTTTTAACAATAAGAATAATTATCAGTTGTCGTTATTAATTGCAGACTTCAATTCAGGCTATCGATATGTAATGAATTTTATAAGAATGTAGAAATATATTGAAGTATTACTGTATTAGTGTTTTCATGACATCAATTACATATTTGTCTTCCAGTACACCTTCTGTACTGGCGAACATAGTAGGTTTTTCTTTCGCAAGCTAATGGAATTTTAGATGCACATTCAAACAACATATTTTTTCTATAGTCAGTTTATTTATAAAGCTGAGTAGTAAAAGAGTAATATTTCTTTCTATTCTGAGTAGATCTGGCTTCCTGTGCGTTTTCGCCAATGATTGGGGAAAAACTGTGCTATCATTCGAACTGGAACTGGTTTATGTTTCAGCCAGGGCAGTCGAAGCTTCAGTTCGGCGTCGAATGACTTTAAAATCAACGTCACCAGCAGCCCCCATGGTTCCTGCGCATTCAAGTGAAATTTCAAACCATCCTGGGATGGCTACCAATACATCGACTTCTTCTAAAGGTTCCTCCCGTCTACCTTCAAATTCTCGCGACCAGCATGATCGAATGCTTGGAATAAAGATGAAACGTATTCGTGGTGACTCATTCATGTACACCAGCTTATGTCGTACTATTCTTGACTTAGCTGGTTTGCGACCAGAAAATTAAGATCTTTTTTTACAATTCTGACAAACCCGTCAATCTATTCCCCAAGCGTTTGTGATAGAACAATTAACACATCTAGATGAATGCAATGAATATTATGCTAACAATAAATGCTAATGATTTCATAGTTTTATTTATAATGTAATTAATATCTGTTTGATGGTGAATTACCTTTTGAGGCTGACCTTATTAGCTTTACATGAAAATAGTACTATTTCCTGCATGAAGCCAATAATCAGGGTTTCCTTTAAGACTAGTCAACAATTGTTTGAGATCTAATAAACGGCAAACTGAGTATGGTAGCTAACACTGGCAAACTAACTTTAAGGTTGTAACGTCAAGTTTGTTGGTGCATCACCTATAGTGTAGTCGAGATTATCTTTTACTTATAGAGATGTAGTTATACTTAATAGCAGTTTGTTGTTGTAAGTGTTGAACGTGGGATTTTACATTTGATTAAAACTGTTTGCAAAGCACTCCTCGCATATGGTAAAACATAGTTTCAGTGTTAATTGGTTTGATTGTTTTCTTTAAACTCCGAGATTATTCTTAGATCAAACAAAGACATATTGGTTTCCGAGTCATTACCCGATATACCAAATACTTGTTAGGTAGTCTCGCGTTTTGGACTTGAGAGTTTTGTGTCCCTGGATCTGACTGCAGTTATACGATATGTTAGATTGTTATTGAAACATACATACCGTCAATCTTCGTATAAAATTGTCGACTTAACTCTCATTAATGAATAACGGAATTAAATAGGTGAAATCCGAGAATTGGCGTTTGAATACATGAGTTTTGTACACTTGTTGATTGGAGCAGAGAATCGCGGCGAATGAAGCAAAAAAAAAGCGTAGTGGAGAGGGCGTGTAAGCTAATTCCATTTAATCAAGCGTTAACCGATATTTATAGTCACCAAAGTAAATTACAGACATGATAAATCAGGTAATAAGTACACACACCTACGCTCCGATAAAAACAGTCAAGGCTGATAAGCAAGTATTCAACAAGGTCGGAATGTAACTTGAGAAGAATGGATAAAATGACTTGTCCGTAGGCTAGAATAAACTATGTGGGCTCGACATAAGATCAACCACTACAAGAGATATGGATGTAATCCGTTTCAGTTGCAGTCTTCTCTCTGCGACCTACGGTTTCAGTTACGTTTGCTGTCTTGATAGATTTGGACTATTGTGCTCTTGTTGTAACTTATTTCTCGGGATTCATTTAAGAGGTTTCTAACTCTTTTAGATTACACAGGAGGTCCAGCTTATCACTGTCACCTCACAAACTAAAAATGAAGACGATCTAGTCAGTTCTGTCGATTCATTGGCATGTGGAAAAATTAGGGAACCTAGGGTGTTTCCTGATGGACAGTGCTATCGCTCATAAGTTTAGGTTTTAAAAATATACAGTGGTTTTTCTCATCGCTGAAGTGAATCAGTCTTCAATACTTATTTTCTGAGTCTGTCTTGTGAACGGTCATAAAGCTTTATTGATAACGGCATAATGAAGTCACCTAATACATCGGGATCCTCCCAACAATTCCTAATTATATTTCTACGTACTACCTTTTTATCTACCTAAATTCGAATGACTGGGAAATCCTTTGTTATATATATCACAGCCTGGGGAAGTTGGGTTTGGTTTGCGTACTAAGATGAATCACTGTTTCTGCGGTCGATACATGAACAACAAATCTCGGCTCTTAAAATTAGGCTTTGCAATCTATTCTTCAAATCGTAAAACCGATGAAAGCCAACGACTTCACAGAGTTCAAGGTTTATCTTCAACAGTCACGAGTCTTAGCTGGTTGTTAAACATTAGGTTTATAAAAAGTCTGTCGATAATTGTTACAAATAGATAACTTTTTTCCCTCTTTAATGACGATCGGCAAATCACCTAACAAAAATAGACAAACAACCTTTACAAATTCGACTTAACATAAATGAACAAATCTCGAAGGTCCTAACACGCCATTTTCATTGATAACTGATATGATCCCAGCCATTCGTGTGCACAATATGGTATGCCAGAGAACCTTTCCAATGGGTTCGGGACGAAAACATGTGCGCTAACGTGTTAAGGAAAAAACATAACGGGTTAACTTGTGGTAACAAAGTGAGTTTCATTGGTAAAACCGACGAAAGAAAACTTTCTTATGGAGGAAATCATTTACTTCACCTGTACATTCGTATTTATATTTTGGTGAATATCTTAGTCTATAAAAAGATTGGATCATAAAGTGATTCAAGACTTCAAATATGAAATGACGTTACCTACTAATCAGGTGATTAGAAAACAATAAAAAGATAATTTATAGGTAAGAATTATAAAAGTTAATTGCCTGCCTGACAGACGTGGTAAACGGAAAACAAAGGTCATAATAATGACTGAATAATAACAAAGAAGAATTGTTAAGCGATAATAACAGTTGGTTGCGGTTTAAAATTACAAAACAATAATAAAAAAACGAGACCAAAACATACTACGGATGGGAATTAGGGCCAATGAATAATGAGAGGTTAGACGTATATTTTTGGTAGGCGGAGTTCGAGCTTGATTTATTGAACCGCCAACGCCTCGGGAGCGCATGAGTTTTTGACTTGCCTCCCTTTGATCCAGCTTCCTTTATTCCCTGGATTATTTTAAAGGAAATGTGACCAGAGTTGATCAGGTGCTCTCTTATTGGTTTAGTGATTGTTTTGCATTCCCTTTGAAGGTCACGCCGAGTAATGTACTGAGATGAGTTTGGAAAGCGGTCGCTATTTGTGTTCAGTGTAACCTGAACCTCAAGAGAAGATAAATTTGTAGATGTACATGGGTGTGGTTCGAAGTGGGAGTTTATCCTTAAAATATCTGTGAATGGTAGATCGGCTTGAGCAGGATATACGAGCTTAGTTGATTAGAAGTTTTTATTCAAGGATATTGAAATCTGTTTGTCCAAGATTTGGCAGCCGTATCTCCTTTAAATTCAACGTTCATAAAAAAGGTTTCCTTTTGAACTGTCGATGTTTCTTCAGGATGTTGTCTTGGTGTTAAGTTTCTATCAACGAATCTAGGTGGGTAGCCATTTCTGGTGAGTATCTGTCGAAGTTTAAACTGATATTTACCCATTTACCTAGGTCATAAGGACTACAGAAGATACACAAACGGGATTTCACACTGAATACAATTTCAAACATATACAATTCCCCTTATTTTGTAGCAGTGATTAGTAACCATTTTAAAATTACTTACACATAGTGAAGAATAGTAATAGAGATGTGTTCCAGTTCGTCGACAAGATCAAGAACATAAACACTAAAGGACAAACTATGATGCCTTCAAGCCTTTCCCATTGTTCAATTTTTCTCCGCGTTAAGTGTTTAATATTTTCAGCTCGAAGGATTGTTTGGTTAAAGTCTAGTTGTAATACAATACCTCCGAAAAAGATCACGGTCTCGTAGTCTATCCGTGGAACACCTTTAGGCGCTAACCTACTGACAGCATTTTGTTTCATAGTAGGGTGCTAATCTTAGTACGAGAAGAAACGTATGAGGGGGCTACCAAACTTTTGTTTTCTGGAGGATCGCGAGTAGCTACAGATGATATGTTAGGTTTTTGGGTGTACAAACGTAATGTTGTTATTCCTGTGCTTCCCATTGATGTAACGATTTTGGCAAGGAATGCCATGACTGAATGTATTCAAAGGTTTCGTTACGTAACTGAAAGAACTTCGGTGGCTGGTGCAACGGAGAGAAAATGCTGAAAGTCCCTCCACAGCATTTCGTTGGATGGTACTGCCATTTATTTGTTCCTTCTCCCCCCCCGTATTTTAACCTTTATTCAGATATATTTTAAGCACGCTTTATGTTCTTCAGTCTTCCTCGTCTGAGCTTTTATTGTGTGACTGGGGTTAAAGACTAACCTTTTGTTACTTAACTTTTCCGTTGTATGTTGCCGGGCTATTGGTAATAAGGTTTTGTTTGAAAAACCTGAGGGTCACGGCGTGGTTCAGTGTGTAACCTTCAACCTTTCACTGTCTGTTTCGAAAGATTTCTGGAATATCTGCGGATACATGGAGAGCGAATTTGCAGTACTTTACTGGTTTTGGATAAAAAACAGACGTTGGTATTAAGACTTTCAAAAAACATAGCCAACCCTATCTGTTGTCTGATAGTGTGAGAGCGTTGAAGGGGGTCAGTTTGAATGTGCATCACCAGAATTTCAATCAAGACAAGAATATTATTTTCAGTAATTATCGTCATTTCACTTTATTTTTGTGTGGGCTGTGATAATACCTGGATTACTAGACCACTTAACAAGATGCAGCTGAGGAAACGAAACAGATGTTAACCGAAATTTTGAGAAAGATGAGTCTATTGTCGTTTATGACCTCTATGGACGCTTTAGACGATCGGGTTCTGCTTTGTCGGAACTATATGAACTTCTAATGGTTCATAAGAATGTCGTCTTATGTTCTAAAATTGATATGAATAACGCTTCCTATCATTTGATTGTTAAATCTTTAGTTGAAACTTTACAATCTGTTGGAAATCACATCAATAAATACAACTCACTTGATTTTGTCGACTCATTTGAAAATATCAATGCAAATGATAGAAAAATGATCTCAATGAATCTCTTTACAAGTGTTCTATTTACAAAAAGTATATTTCTAGTTTTGCGAGATAGATGTCAGTCAATACGGGACCAAGTGGTGAACCCATCGTAACGCCATCTATTTGTGTATATATTTCACCACTGAATTTGAAGTTCACGTTCATAGCAAATTTTAGTAATATTTCCTTGGTGATCTCCTCAGGGATTTTAGTCTCATACGTTTCTTCTCGTACTAAGATTAGCACCCTACTATGAAACAAAATGCTGTCAGTAGGTTAGCGCCTAAAGGTGTTCCACGGATAGACTACGAGACCGTGATCTTTTTCGGAGGTATTGTATTACAACTAGACTTTAACCAAACAATCCTTCGAGCTGAAAATATTAAACACTTAACGCGGAGAAAAATTGAACAATGGGAAAGGCTTGAAGGCATCATAGTTTGTCCTTTAGTGTTTATGTTCTTGATCTTGTCGACGAACTGGAACACATCTCTATTACTATTCTTCACTATGTGTAAGTAAT